TTACATAACAGTTACGTAACACTTGTTACGCATTTACGAAAGAAAAATAAAACCATGAAATAAAAAAATCATTCTCTAAAATCAAAAATGCTCTTTAGACAGTTAAATAATTATTTTGGACAACAAGGACAACTTGTTCTCTAAACCCAATTAATAAATATTTACTTAGAAATAAAAATTTTGTATATAAACCATTTTGCAGAACAAAATTTAATAAATTTTGCATTACATTTCGAGCACCATATCTTTGCAATAAAATTGTTATACCTAATTTGATACAGTTGAATCCCCTTAACTCGGACCCTGGATAAGTCGGACTTTTACAAAGTTGGACGACCTTTCGATTCTCCTTGAACATTCTCTATCAACTTACTGTAAAATCATCCGCTCAAATCGTACCTTGGTTAAGTCGGATCATTCGCTAACTCGTACTGTTTTTTGAGTTCCCTTCGACAAAAAATCTTTGCCTAACTAGGACTTTTATTTTGAATTGCATATAAGTGCATATAATAACAAAACTTCCAATACTTTAATAAAAGTTTATAACTTTAAACGCTCGAAAATAAAATACTTTTGCGTCAAATATAATTAAATGTAGCTAAACATTTTCACGGAGATCTTTTGATTCAGTTTTCGATTAAATTTTATTTTAATCGAAAAATTTTAATTGATATATTTGAATTTTTTATGTAATAGTTATTAAATTTTATTTAATAACTTTTACATAAAAAATTCAAAAATATCAATTAAAATTCAAAGCTTAAAACGTTCGAAAATTACCTAGGCGTCAACCGTAATTTAACGAACTAAACATTTTCACTGATATCTTCGATTCGGTTGTACTTCGATCAACTTTAATTTACTAAAAATGTCTAAGATTGCTGAAAAAAAAAAGCTATCAAGTGGAAATATTACAGAAAAATACAAAATACTCAAAAAAATTGACAAAAGAGAATCATCTGCATCTATATTAAAGAAATATAGCATTCCAAAGCAAACATTGTCTGGATGGTCAAAAGAAAAATACACAATATATTAAGAAAAAATGAAAAAACTTCTGCGAAAAGAGTGTGGATGCGTGTCTCCCTAAAGAAGGATTTGGATAAAGCATGTTATATGTGGCTTTTAAACACCCGATACCCAAACATTCGTGTGTCTGAACCATTTTCAAAGACAAAGTTTTGCATTTTGCAAAATAACTTGGTTGTGACAACTTTCAAGCATCTGATGGATGGTTAGATAAATGGAAAAAAAGAAACATTGTATCTTTTAAAACAATATCTATTTATAATAATATTTTATTATTTCAGTTTTTCATTGATATTTGCATTTTTTTCAGTCATTTGTCTAAAGAATATTAATAAACATGGAACATTTCTATTCCATCCCCATAAACCAATAAATTATCAATCCAATTCTTTTGTTTAAATTTTTTTAAAGTCATCACCACGTTTTGGCTCATTACCACGCACTGCATGAAAATCAAGTAAAGTCCAAATCATATCTAATAAAATTTATGCTGATTTTAAAGTTTCTTTTCTTATTTTTCACATGTGAAAGTCAAGATGCTACTAATGAAAAGACCGCAAGGAATCAACTTTGCCAATAATATTGTTTATTTATAACTTGCGTGATATATTAAATGCAGATGAGTTCGGTTTATTTTATAAAGCACTTTCAAAAAAAAGTATGCTTTTGAAAGGTGTGTGGAGGTAAAATGTAGTGGAGGTAAGAATTGCAAGATTCGACTAGCTAGGCTTGCTACAGCTAACATGTATGTAGAAAAACTTCCAAAGTTTGTTATTGGGAAATCAAACAAACCCCGTTGCTTTAAAGGAATAAGAAGCACTCCATATCGTTACCGTGCGCAAAAAAAGAACTGGTTGACCTCTGAGGAATGGGTTAAAGAAAATGACAGTAAGTTTGCATTGGAAGGCCGTAGGTAGCATTGATCAATTATAATTTCACAGCACATTTGAATAATGAGAATTTTAAATCAGTCACTCAATACTTTTTCCCCCCAAACACAACTTCATGTTTGCAGCCGATGGATCAAGGAATCAGTTGATCGTTGAAGTGTAAGTACCGAACTAATTTAATTAACAAGATCATAAATGCTATTTATAACTGAAAAAAAAAATGCTTTAAATCTCCATATTTGATGCTATGAAAATGCTTGTTCATACTTGTAATGAAGTTTCAGAAACCACTATTATTAACTGCTTCTGCAAAGCAGGATTAAAGAAAAGAGTAGGAGTACCAGAAAAGTTGAAGAATACTTCCCTCCATTAAAAATTTCAATTGATCAGTTACGTCAGCGTGATGAAGATCTTGTTCCGGAAGATTTTACTTACGAAAATATACTTACAATTGATGATGACGTTTCGGTTATAGGAGGAGTGATGACAGATGAAGATATTGTTCAAGATATCATTGAGGTAGTTGAAGAAGAAATGCAAGAAGAAGAAGGAAACGAAACGTCGGTTGAAACGGTGAATAAACCAACGACTTAAGAAGTTCGTAAAGCAATTGATACTCTTGTTATTTTTATCGATGTTAAATGGTTCAAAGCTGTTTAAAAAAGAATTGTGCGAGTCACAGAAACAAACAAATTTCGGAAATTTTTGTTTATAGTATATATTATATATACAAAAACATATATTTCACATAAGAATATATTATTTTATGTATATATATCTACATAATATTTATATATCAAAGGACATTCGATAAGTCTCGAAATCTCAATAAGTCGGACATTTTCAAAAAGTCCGACTTAACGAGAGCTTAGCTCAGGGCCGACGACACGGGGGAGGGGGGCAGGGGGCTTTTGCCCCCCTCCTTTTTTTTTCAAATAGACTTTTTTTAAGAATTGACTGTTGTACCTTCCCTCCCTCACTTCGAAATCCGTATCGTCGGCCCTGTGGACATTCGCTAAGTCGACAATAAATATATACCCCTTCAGAGTCCGAGTTAACGGGATTCTACTGTATATCCAATATATTTCCGATCTTTAAAAGTAAACTTAAAAATTTTATTTTATCATTTAATGATATATTTAAATTCTTTTTATAAGTATATATATATATATATATATATATATGAGAGAGAGAGAGAGAGAGAGAGAGAGAGAGAGAGAGAGAGAGAGAGAGAGAGAGAGAGAGAGAGGACCTCGTCTATGGAACAGAATTCTTGACGACAAAATGAAAAGTATAACCTCAATACAATTTTTTAAAAATGTAGTTAAACAGAATTTGCTCGACTTAACAGATATAAACATATTTTTATATTTTTAGTTTTAAAATTTAATTTTTTTTTTACGTTACTTATTTGTTTTTCTTGCTGTTTTTTTCTTTTTTTTTTTTTTTGCTTTTTACTTTACTTTTGAAGTATTTTTATTTTATTGCAATAAAGTTTATATTTATTTGCTTTATATAATGAGTATTTGTATATAATGAGATAATGACACAAAAAAAAAAATCAAAAAAAAAAAAAAAAAAAAAAAAAAAGAAGAGGGAAAGAGAGGAAAAAAAAAATGTAAATAATTGTTATATATATTTTATTTCTATATTTTACTTTAGAAGTCTTATTATAGTATAGCTATTTTTAACTTGCTATATAATATTTTTTTGTTGAAAAAACTTGTAAAGCTAATCTTTTAAATTTCTTTACTTATTTATTTAATTTAGCAAATTTTATTTTATTATTGTTATTTTAACTTGCTTTATATAGTGAATATAATTTATTATATTTTATATATTATGGATACTTTGTAAAAAATATATCACGCAAATTGTAGGGGCTTGACGACAAGACTTATGTCTTCTCTACTTGCTCCTGTCATTCTTTATATTTTGATAAACTTGGAAACGAGAACATTGTAAAATGCTTATATATATGACGAAATAAATAAACTTACCCATATATATATATATATATATATATATATATATATATATATATATATATATTATATATATATATATATATATATATATATATATATATATATATATATATATATATATAAGCATTTATATATTCGCGTTTTTATAAGCTCTGACGATAAGATCAGACTTTTGTTATATATAAGATATTTGATTTATATTTCCAATTTATATCACGATTTATTGTAATTTTTTTTTGTTAATGTATTGATGTTAAAAACTTGTAAAAGGTTCTGATGATAAGATCATTATGATCTTCTTTCAGAAGCCTTGTTTCTTTGTCTTTTTAAATAACGACAAAAATATAAACAAAACAATCAAACAAAACAACAACAAAATTAATGTCTCCTTTGGGAATATGTATAGATAGTGTGCTTATCAAAGCCTCGGTGTCTTGGAGTAAAACAACATCGGACTTGAGCAACTCTTCTACTAGCTAGAGATATAAAATTATTTTCAGGTTTTGTTTATTTTGATTGAGCATTGTTAAATAGTTTTTAAATCGATTGTATCTCAACGTATCAAAAAAAAATTGTAAAATTTATTTTTTTACGTTGTTCTGGCAACAAAATCTTTAAAACCTTCTTTCCGATACAAAGTTTTCATTTTTGTTGTTATATAACGATTTGTTATATAAAAGAGTACATGTCATAAACCAGAGTTAAACAAATTACCTCTAAGATTTGTGAAGTTATTTATAAATACATATATTTAAAAACAATATTTATAAGTTGAAAAATAACAATAAAATCTTTTATTGAAACTCTTTCAAAAATAAATATAACAAATTTAAACTAACTAAATATATAATTCATCATTTAAAAACAAAATAAATATATAAAAACACCAGGTTGCAATAAAATGAAACAACCATAATAATAGTTAAAAACAATTTTCAAATATTCAAAATGCAAGAGAACTATCTAATGGTAACGATTACCTCAAGGTAACGAAAAATTATATACAAATAACTATTATTTACACTTTTGTACAGCAAATTACAAGCTTTTTGTTTTTTTTAATGAATAAACATGAGTACTTATTTTTTTCAGATTCAGACAGAGATTTATTTCATTTAAATAATTTGTTAAAAAAACAAATTATTTCTTTAGGTTGTTTACCTCAGAGCTAATTGGTAGAAATTTTAATTATTTCAACACAACACAATGCTGCAGCACCGCACAATATGCCAAAACAAAATTCTCATATGACACCCTCAAATTTCCTATAAATTGCAACACTTGTTCCGTCCCAGCCTTCATTTTTTTGTTGTTCTATCTCGTCTAGGTCTAATGATTTAGAAACGCCCTGCTGATTCAGACTTTTTGAGCCTTTTTTACGAGGCATTGTTGAAGTTCTAAGTGTGAAAAAAATTTATACACACACATGTATATAAATAGAAGTATACAGACACACATAAATAGATACATACATATAAGCATACATACATATATACATACATAGATACATGGATACATAGATAGATAGATACATACATACATACACAAGCACAGGTGCAGATTTAGATTGCCACTGTCTTGATATATTTTTCACAATGTAATTTTTTTATCTGACTTTAATTCAAAAAGGTTTTTTGACAAAGAAAAAAAAAGAAAAATAATAAAAAAATAACTTTTTTCGTTAATAAATGCCATTTATATGTTTTCATATGCAACTATATTTGGCCAAACGTGTCTTCAGTTGCAATGCAATATTCAATAATGCAATGCAATATTCAATAAGCTTTTTATTTTATCTTGAATTTTTTGTTTTGGTCAGGATTGATTTAAAAAATTAATTTTAACTAAAATAGAAAAAGTGAATAAAAAAACTAAAAAATTATTTATTAAATATATTTGTTGTCGGGTAACATTTCTCTGTCGAGTTATATAACTTGACAGAGAAATGTTATTATTTTGTTTATAGTTTTTTATTGTAAAATAAAAAAAAAATAGTAAAAATAAAAAATTTTTGGAAATAAAGCGAAATTTTTGTTTAAATATATAAGTTGACTTGTCATTTTTTTTTAATTAAATAAAATCAGCTGTTTGTTGCTGGTAAATAGTAGAAAGAAAAAAAATAAAGCGTTAAATTATTAGTTTAAATCTCAGCAGAAAACTAGATATAAAACTAGATTTGTACTTAATTACATTGTTTGTAACTGTTTTCTATGATTTACGTTTCCATATTATATATATTATATTTTGATCATTGACACATTATACTTAACATTAATTAACAAACTTTTATATAAAAAATTTCTCTTTTTTTATTTTTCTTTTAGTTTCATTAGTTTCTGTTATATAAATCCAAACATGCATAGTGGAACTCAAACATACATAGTGGAGACTCAAACATACATAGTGGAGGCTCAAACATACATAGTGGAGACTCAAACATACATAGTGGAGACTCAAACATACATAGTGGAGACTCAAACATACATAGTGGAGACTCAAACATACATAGTGGAGACTCAAACATACATAGTGAAGACTCAAACATACATAGTGGAGACTCAAACATACATAGTGGAGACTCAAACATACATAGTGAAGACTCAAACATACATAGTGGAGACTCAAACTGGAGCCAGAGGTTTTTTAAAAAAATGCCTAAAGTTTTTAAACTAATTAAAAACATAAAACCGAACATAAAATCTTCTGTTATATTTTATTTTAAATTTACAATTGTAAAGATCACAAACTAATTTTGAGTGGAATTATAAAAAAAATTAAAGATAAAAAACTTACTGAACGACATTATAAAATTGGTGACCAGTTTTTAAAATGCATTTTCGATAAAGAAAGATAAACAAAACAACCATAACAAGCAATACAACTGCACTGAGTATAATGGCTAGCATTGTACGCCAACCTAAATCACTCTCAAAATGAGGATTTTTGTTTTCTAAAGCAATCAAAAATAATAACTATGTTTTTAAATACAAAAATAAAAAATAAAAATACTATATAATCATGCCAATAGGAAAAGTAATTTAAAAACAAAAAAATAAAGTCATTAAATCTATTCATCCCCACAGATGGAATCATGGATGAAAAATCTGCTGATCACCATGGATGGTATCATGGATGAAAAAAATGTTAATCACGGTATTATCAGGATAGGTGGATCATATTTGAATCACTTACTTAAAACTTCAAAATATTTTAAGGTTCAAAAAAGTGAAGAAACAACTTAGAGTTGGTCAAGTAGAGGTCAAAAAAGGTGGAAGAAGGGAAGAAATAACTTAGAGATATCAAGTGGAGGTCAAAAAAGGTGGAATAAGTAAAAAAACAAAAAGAAAAGAAAAACTTATATCAGGGTGTCACCCCATATTTTAAAATGGATTTCTCTGATTTTTTCTGGATCCACTACCTGTTTTACCCTGATTTAATTTAAAGTTACCCAAACTAAACTTAAAAAAAAATAGACTTAAATTCTTTTAGAAAAAAGCTTTTTGCAAAATTGCAAAAATATAAACACTATGCACATTCAAAGTACCAAGAAACGTTTTTAAACTATCTGCCAAATAAATTTTATATTATGTGTACAACATATGACTTACATAAGTTTGACGCAAATTATGTAAGATTGATGAATAATGCTTTTCCTTGATTTCTCCCTGATTTTTCCTTATTAATTAATTTCCCTGACTATTCCCTGAATTTATTTTGCAGATATTTGAAATCCCTGACTTTTTACTGTTTTCACTGATTTACCTGATATGGCAGACACCCTGTATATAGAATTCTTTTATAGAATTATAGAATTGGACATCTTTTATAGAAAGTTTTAACTTTTTTATTTTTTTTACTTTTTCATATTAAAAGATAACTTAACTCAACTTAATTTTGTTCATCACAATTTTTTTTAAATAAATATTAAAAAACTCAACAAATCTTTTTATCAACATCTTTTATCTTATGTAAACTAAAATACCTGTTGAACTCGTTATTTTTAAAGTTGATACACTACTCAATAAAGATTTTGGTGTTGTTGTTGTTTCTAAAAAAAAAAAAAAAAGGAATTTCAAAAATAAATTTTCATAAAAAATATCAAGTTAGTAAAACTAAAAAAATTATGACAACGATTTCAAATTGAAGTAAAGATAATACAAATAAAAATTTAATTTATTAACTTTACATTTATTATAACTTATCATATTATTTACCTTATATTTGTTTATTATATATTATTGTAATGTAACAATAAAAGGTATGAATAAAAAATTGATTACCACAAAATAATTCTTGAAGAACTTGCTTAGTAGTTAGATTTGCATGGTTTTGACAAAGTAGATTATCAAAGTCTTTTAGTATTGAGGGTTGTTGGTAGTTTAAAAGCATTGCTTTTAGTTCACAGTCACAAACAATAGGATTGTCTTTTAGCTTCCTGATGAAAAATGTACTTATAAGGAATTTTCTTAAAAAAAATTTTTTAGAACAAGTTTTAGTTTTACTTACACTTCAATGACGCTGAATGGTAATTTGATTGGTATTCGAGTCAACAAGTTTGATTCTAAATTACTAATAATAATAAAAAAATTACTAATAATAAAAAAATTACTAATAATAAAAAAATTACTAACAATAAAAAAATGATTTAAAATAATAACTAGAATAGCTTTCTCAATCAAATATTAAAAGTAACAACTTATCAAAGGTTTGAAAAACCATTAGAGTGTAGTTTTTCTTTGTTTATTGAAATGAAGTAATTTAAATAAAATAGAAAGCTTTAAATTAGAAAATAAACTAAACTGTTTCAAATTAAACCTAACAAAAAATAAAAACCAAGTAAACCTTATATAATCAAGGTCTTTAACATAAACATTTTTAAACTATATAAAATGCAACTATATACAAAAGGCATCATGGGATAGTATTGATAGTTACAAGAAGTAATTAAAATCACAATTATAATTTTGAGTAAAACTGCATTTTAAACATTTATATATATTTTTTCTAAATCATCTTAACAATTAATAAACCTTTTTAAAACAATCAATTTTGATACTCACATATGCCATTATGCAGCAAGAGGGAAACATTTAGAACTATAGCTAGAACTAGTGACTAAGGGGTAAGTTATTACTAGAACTATAGCTAGAACTAGCGACTAAGGGGTAAGTTATTACTAGAACTATAGCTAGAACTAGCAACTAAGGGGTAAGTTATTACTAGAACTATAGCTAGAACTAGCGACTAAGGGGTAAGTTATTACTAGAACTATAGCTAGAACTAGCGACTAAGGGGTAAGTTATTACTAGAACTATAGCTAGAACTAGCGACTAAGGGGTAAGTTATTACTAGAACTATAGCTAGAACTAGCGACTAAGGGGTAAGTTATTACTAGAACCAGAGATGTAGGTCTCGAGACTCATATTTAAATGTCTTGGTCTTGGTCTTGATCTTGAATGGCCTTGGTATCTTGAAGCCTAAAGTATTGGTCTGTGTCTCGGACCTCTACTGTCTTTTACTTTCTTGACTCTTACGAAAAATATCAACTCAATGAATGGATTAGTTATTAATAACAAACAGTAGATCTCCACAACTTCCTGCTCTCAATGAGAGCTCATCGCGTTGATTTAAAAAGGTTCTAACTGAAATTTTTTATGTTAGGAGAACTATCACATCGTATCACATTTACATTACTTGAACTATCACATCGTATCACATTTACATTACTTGAACTATCACATCTTATCACATTTACATTACTTGAACTATCACATTGAATCACATTTACATTACTTGAACTATCACATCGTATCACATTTACATTACTTGAACTATCACATTGTATTAAAACTAATTAAGCAAAGATTTGTAACATTAAAAAGAAAATATAAAATATCACTCAAAAATATTTTTGCTTTTATCTATAAAAATGTTTTCTAACCAACAAGAATTCACCTGTTTGGGTTAATATGCATATAATTTATTTTTTCAGGATATAATATTTTAGTATTTTTTATAACCTAAAAAAAAGGTTTTTATCCTTCTTTAAAACACCAGAACTAACAATTAATGTTTCTGCTATATTCCTTGGCAAATAAGCAAACTCACACTAAACAAAGTTGAAATGTTTTTTTTTTGTTTTTTTTTTGTTGTTTTTTTAATTAAATAGAAGTACTATAAAATTATTTTTTTTTTTTTAAAAAAAAATTTTTTTTTACTATTTTAAGTTTTTATTTTAAGTTTTTATTTAGCCTTTAAATACTTACATTATCTGTAGTTTATTGTTCTTGGAAAACAACTGGGATGGTAATGAAGTCAACTTGTTGTGTGATAAATCTCTTTTATTAAAAAGAAAATTAAAACTTTTTTTATCTTATAATAAATAATTTTAAAAAATTGATTAAAACTCAAAGTATTGTTAATATAAAATGTGTTACAATTAATTACAGCTATTTAAGTTTTAAAGAACTTACATATTCTCCAATGAATCCAAACCAATAAATGTATTTTCGCTTAATGATGAAATTAAGTTTTTACGAAGACTTCTAAAGAAATTAATAATAATATTTCCTTACAAAAAATTTCAAAAAAACAAACAAATTGTTTAGTACAAAATGTCAATTTTTATATACACATTGAGAGTACACAAGCATAGTTTACACTTAAATACATAATGTCAAACAATGAAATGAAATAAATTAGAAATATTAACTAACAAATACAACAACTTCTCTTGGTTTTGAAACAAAGTTTCTGGCAATCTATTTAAATGATTATCATCCAAGTCTCTAAATAAAAAATGATTATTAAAAATAATAATAGCTTTAGAAATATTTAAATAATGATGTCATTATTTACAAATAAATCGCTTTTTTAAAGATAAATAGTTTGAAAATATCTAAAGCAACAAAATCAACATAAATCATTGCTACTGTCACTGGATCTAAATGCAAAAAATGAAAAATTATTTTAAAATGACTGAAATTAATTGTAAGAGAAATATTTTTTATTTGTTTATTTAACCATAAAATTAAAAAAATTACAAATTTATTTATAATTTTACAAAATTAGGTTTGATATCATAGTTAAAAACTAGTCATTAGAGTGACCTTTAGATAGAAAAAACTTATAACTGTATAGCTCTACCAACATTATTAAATAAAAACATTTACTCACAAATGTATCATCCATCGAACATCAACAAATGTCTCTGGATGCAATGAGGATATATTGTTAATGTTTAAAAACCTAAAAAAGAAATTCTAAACCAAATAGTGAACTTTTTTTAATTCTTACTAATTATATGCATTAATAAGAATTAGTTAAAAAATATTGAATATATTTAATGTTCAATGCATATAAAATGTGTTATGTTTATTAAATTTTATTTTAATGTTAACTAAATGTTAAGTTTTACAATCTTTTCATTTAACTTAAAACTATTAAATACCTAAATTATAAAAAAGTAAAGCAATAAATTATTAAAAAATCTTTATTAAATACACTCATAATTATTAAAAAAACACTTATCTAACTTGGACTAACATATATATATATATATATATATATATATATATATATATATATATATATATATATATATATATATATATATATATATATATATATATATATATATATATATATATATATATGCTTATATTATATACATATTTATATTTTATATATATATTTCTATTATATATAATTTATATATAGAGAGAGTAAGATGGGGAAATTTCGCCACTAATTCTTTCAATTTAAATAACTTGAGAACTAAAACTGAAAATCAAATTTTTTTGTTACTGTTAATATTATTTTTATAAACTTTATATACTTTAATTTTTTTTTTCATAATTAGAACAGAAAAAATGGGGCGGCGAAATTACCCTAATAAAATCTAATTTGGGAGAATTTTGTCACCTATGTTATTTTCAACAAATCTTTTATTTTAAATTATAAATCTTAAAAACACATTTACAATCAGTTAAATAAAAAAAATCTAACAAATTTCAATTAGTGGGGGAGAGGTATAGGGGCATGACTCCCTCCACTTTTTTTACTTTTTTTTTTTTTTCTTTAGTCACATAAGACCAACATGATCTGATAAATTAATTACCAAAACAAGAGGAAGGGAAATAATATTATATTAATAATATAATAATATTATATATTATTATATTATATTATAATTATTCTTAATATTATTGATACTTTATTATTATATATTATTATTGTTATTACTACTATAATTATTTCAAATATCATTATTATTTGCTTAACAATCTTTTTTGTTTTTTCTCTTATTTTTATATATATATTTTGCTTTGCTTTTCGTATCTTTCTTTATTTTTTTTATTTTATTTTTTTTTCCGAGAATTTTATGTTTTTAGGTGTCACTTCATTGACTAGTTTGTACTATTTGAGTGACACTTAACCAAATTCTATTAATTTACTATGATAATTTTTATTGATATGGTTGAATAATAATAATAAATAAAAAAGTCAAAGCTCATTTCTATTTAATATGTGGCGAAATTCCCCCATTTAGTATTTCCGTAATAACTTTGGAATTGATCAAAACTAGAAAGAAAAAAACAATACAAAGATTATTCAAAAAATTTCCAATATTTTAGTCATAAATTTTAAATGGAAATAAATAATTTAATTTTTATGAGAATTTTAAATTTCCTGTTTTTTTAAAGGTTATTTTTGTCAATTAATTTTCTTGGCAAGTTTTCACAAAAAGAAGATTTTTTTTACATAATTTGATAAGAAATTTGTCATTCTTCTATTATTTGAATTGTGAAAAAATCTTATTCCTAAGTAAAGTTATAGTTATAAAAGTAGATATACACTAATTGGTAGCAAAATTACCCCATTTTACTCTTTTTTTTCTCTCTCTTTATATATATATATATATATATATATATATATATATATATATATATATATATATATATATATATATATATATATATATATATATATATATATATATATATATATATATATATATAACTTTCAAAAATTTTAATAACTATTTTTATCAAACTTCATTTAAGTTAATAATTTATTCTTACAAATCTGTGTCAGCATAAAGTCTAGAAAATGCATTTGGATGAATTGTTGCAATACTATTGTTTGTTAACCGCCTAGGAAAAAAAAAGCATATATATATGTGTGTGTATATATATATATATATATATATATATATATATATATATATATATATATATATATATATATATATATATATATATATATATATAAACTACACTTAAATGATGTAACCACATGTAAAAACTAGTAATTCTTACAACTTCATTGTTGTTGACTCCAGTCCTTTAAAAATATCATTGTTTATAGTAGTAATTTTATTGTCTTGAAGTTGGCTAAAAAAATATCAGGAAGCAGATATTAATCTTTTAAATAGGGTGTAAAAATGGCTAACTAAACTTACATTACTTACATTGTGTTAAGTTTTTTGAAATTTGAAAAAACATTTGCTTCCAAAGTTTTTATACGATTATATGCAATATCACTAAAAAAAGCAAATCATACTAAAAATAAATAACAACATACACTAAGAATTATTACATAGTTTTATATACATACATACATACATACATACATACATACATACATACATACATACATACATACCTAGATATACATATATATATATATATATATATATATATATATATATATATATATATATATATATATATATATATATATATATATATATATATATATATATATATATATATATATATATATATATATATATATATATATATATACTGTTTCAATATTAAATCTAATTTCATTATGAGTAGAATAAAGCACTGAATATTTTAATAAAATATATTTACAAAATGGTTAAGTAATTACATCTTGACTAGATTAGGCAGTATGTTGGAAAAGTGTTTTGGTATATCTTCGATAAAATTTTTCTCCAGACGTCTAAAAAATCAGTTAATAAAAAAGTCTATTTAAAAAGCATTATTCAAAAAAACAAACATTTGAAAGAAATAGGAAGTTTGCTCAGATTTATGTACTTTAGCGATAATAACCGTTAAAAAATTCTCCACATTCTATATATTCCTTGAAAGTAAACAAACATTATTTACACTTGAAATACTAATTCTCACAAAAATTCAGTTGAATTGTCGATATCTTTTGGAAATTCTTTAAGATTCATTTTTGAACATTTTAGCATTCGCAAACCAGAACTCTTGGACATAGTACACGATTGAGTAAACTTTAACTCATAGAAGAACATGCAATTGATAACCATAAGTATAGATTTTAACATTTTTTTAAAAATTGTATTCAGATAAATATTTGTTTTTACAGATAAATATTTGATAAAACTGGAATAAATCTATTTTCAAATAAAACAATAGCGAGCGCTTGTTATTGCTGAATCGAGTAAATACTCATTCAGAATTATTCAGTCACATGCCTTTACGTGAAATTCATGCTAATTTCTAAGCTTTTCCAATCCTTTGTAATTAAACCGTTTTTTACGAAATTACTTTGAAAAAAAAATTAGAAAATTTTTAGCAATCTTGCTACAGACAATTCTACTCGTTGGATAAGCTAAAGTAATAACATACTTTAGTAATCCGTATGCAGTATTTTTAAGTAATTTTAACAGATTTGCTCTAATCTTTTTATATAGTTTAACTGCATGATCACCAAGCAGGGGGTCAAATCATAGAATGGTCTATAAAATCATTCAAACTATGTCCAATCTTATATATAAAAAAAAGTTAACCATAGTTTGTCTATTAGCTCTCTGAGATTCACTTTTAAATTGTATATTTAAAAAATATTTTTAAATCGTATTTGCAATTCTTAAAAATTATTTTTAAGTATGGCGAATACGATTTAAAAATAATAATAATAATATTGTAAAATATTTGTATTTTATGTATTTGAACAAATATTCAGGAAATTTGAATTCGTATTTGAAATATTAAATAAATAAAAGTTTCACAATAAGATTGTAAAAAGTTTTGATTTTATGTATTTGGACAAATATTCAAGAAATTTGAAGCTCGATATAGAATAAAGCAAAAGACGTCAACGATTATTTCGTCCAACAATTAGAAAAGACAGTTTAATAAGACCAATTATGCTTTTCTTACAAACAACTTAAACATATTAGATTATTAAAACATATTGATGTCTGATAAAACATTTGATAACAATTTTTTATGATTAAGACATTAAAAATAATTAATTGTTTTAAGTAGTTCATCCATAAAATGGTGCATAAAGTCTTTGTTGGTACTCAGCACTCTCTAAGTAAGGGGTTAAACCAACAGAAGATAATTAAATTAAAGAAAGCTGTAGCGCAGTGGTAACGCACTTGCCTCAGAAACGTAAGATCCGTGGTTCAAACCCCACTTCTGGACAAGTTATGCGACATCGGTTGGGAAGGAGGCGTGAACTTCCTATTAAATGCTCTTCCGCGGTGCTCTGTGATAAGACCGTAAGGACTTCTTGGGGCACTTAAATCAACATTTAAAAAATATATATATATATATTCTAGGCAATTTTTAATTTAACGTCTTATTCTTTTAATTTAACATCTTATTTATTTTCTTTTTTAAAAACAATCTTATGATTATTTTTAAAAAAGAAAGTATTTAGCTTGTGTTTCATACGCAATCCTTGTTATAGAACGTTATAGAATTATTTACTTGTAAAATGCTCCCTAATAAAAAGTTCAACAAAACCAGGAGGAGGTTTTTTTTTATTTATTGAAAGAACAGTTTTTCTATAGGATGAAATAACTGGATCAATTGTACATAAAAGTCTTTTCACTACATCTTTTTCGTACTTAAATTTTACGAGAATAATGTTCCTTATACCTTTAAAACTCTTTATTTCTAGCTTCTTGAGCTTCTTTACAAAGTAAACCTATTGACAATAACTTTTTAAAAATAGTTTCTATTTCTATTAATTTTTCTCACCTTATTAATTACTGTTAAAAACTCCGAAACATGTATTACCATTGGTAGACATGAGTAGAGCTTTGCAGTTTTTAGACATAATCAGCGAAACTTACTCATATTTATTATAAATCCACTTATATAGAACTTTGTGTAACTTTACAATTAGTTTTTTGTTCTTCAACAAGAACTTTCTCTGCGTCTCTTCTTGCATACCATTTTTGAGTGGAACTTTGTATGAAATATGAATGCAACACTCAAAAAAAGCTTATCCATGTATTAAGTGTTGATAATCCATATTGCGGACCATTTTCAGACATACCATTCAAATTGCTATAATAGATGACTTTGTCATCTATTATAGCAACTTGAATGGTGTCTTACTAAAATAAACTTTTCATAAGATAACGATAAAGTTTCAAATCTAAATGAGTAATAAATTGCTTCTTTTTCAAATATAAATCTTAAATGTTGGCAGCTGCCAACTGCCAACTGCGCAATTTAAAGTAAACGAAGGTTTTTTCTTTTTTTTAAAGTTTTTGATTTTTCGAAGGTTTTTGCTTTTTCGAAGTTTTTTGCTTTTTCAAAGGTTTTGCTTTCTCCGAATAAAAGTTAGACTTTCTCTAAGATAAGTTGTAATCTAAAGTGGAACCAGACAAGTTAGAAACAATGATACTTTTTCTTTTCAAAGTTGCAGAGACTATCAACCGAAATTTTTTGTTTGTATATTTATATATATATAACAGTGGTGTAACTATAAATTTGCCCCCACCCCACCGCCAAAAAAGTAAAAGGGCCTTCCTTAAATTTTTTCTCAATTTTTTCTCCAAAAATGCCCGTAGGGCTACGTAAAAAATTATAAACTCAAAAAATGTATTTGATAAAACAGAAATAAGTAATACTCATATTATTATTAACACTCATATCATTTTATTCATATGAGTAAAATTTGTAAATCTCCGCGGGGCCCTCTAAGCTCTGGGGCCCCCCGCCTTGCGGGGTTAATATACAATTTTTTTACATATATTTTTATTTTCAAGGAAAATAGTAGAATAATTTAAACAAGATTTAGGTTTAACAGGTTTAAAATTTTTTAACCGAATCTACAATTTAAAAACAGTGCAACTTTAGTTGCGCTGCTTTTAAATTGTTGCTAATCTAAGTTGACCAAAAAGATGAGATGCTTTACTAACATGACGCTTTTTAAATAATTTTTAAGTAAAATTTAGAAAAAGTTGTGCGGGTCGATACTTCAAACATCAATATAATGCATAATATTTTAGAAACACAATAAATATATGTTTATATAACGTTAAATATATATTATAGTTATAAAATGCATTAGACTACTTAACAATTTATACAAATTTATAAGAACAATTCAAAATTCTATGTTGTATGTCTACATTGAATAGTAAATTTGCATAAGCAAATATTTAAAGGATATTAAAGGATGATTTATCTGATATCTAATTATAAAGATTAACGCGAAAATTTAAATTTCAAAAGCTGTCTGCGTAATGTATAAAAACTAAATAAACACTTACTTTAAACTGTTTAAAATGTCTGAACGAAAAAAATAATATTAAATTAAACAACATAAATTAAAATGATACTCAGTAAAATTAATTTAAAACTAGAGTTAGAGTAGTAAAGTTGATAATTAAAAAATGCAAAATTAGCGTTTTGAAATACTTGTCAAATTTATGCGTCAATAGGCCGGGTGAATAAAAATGAGTAATTGCTTTTACTCAGTAATTGGTCAGCTTTACGTGAATAAGAACTTTATCAGATTTGCTAAAACTTTTATTCACGTAAAGTTAAGCAATCTACTCAGTAATTGCTCAACTTTACGTGAATAAAAACTTAAGTAAAATTCCTCAAGTTTTTATTCACGTAAAGCTGACCAATAACTGAGTAAAAGCAATTTCTAATTTTTATTCACCCGGCCTTATAACCGCATAAAATAACATTTTAATATTTTATGTTTATTTAAATATTTTTTCAAGCATGTCTTGATGACTACAATAAATAATAATATAAATTTTAATTTTAATGGTCCTAGCCTCATTAGAGATCTTTATTGACCGTTTCCGTATAAGACAAGCATTTAATATTGACAATTTTTCAGTATTTTGACGCACTCAGTCTCATTGTGAAATAATGTTTATATGGCCAGAGTAGCATTAAACTTTAGATTTCTTGATTTAACCACTGCGCCTCGGATGTTTGAACTATGTAATTTATAGTTAGATCATTAATGGTATTTATTTTTTATCTGAAAGTCGTCATGAACGTGTTTGACTCATCAGTATATGATATAATTTTTTTATTTATTTTCGTTTTAGGTGTTTAGAGCTTTTAACTAGGAAGTTCACGCCTCCGTCTTTACCGATAGCAAGAAATATGCACAGAACTCGCTTCGAACTCTGGATCTCTTTCTTCTAAAGCAAGCACTCTCACAGCTGCGGCACGGCTGCATTTTCAAGGAAATAGAATTCACATAAGAAATAATTTGAAATGTAGAGCAGAGTTATTACTTAAAAATACTCTTCTAATTCCTTCAACTAAATCAACTAATGTTAACCTAGGTCTTTGACTTTAAACTTATCAAAATCATGTTTTATTTGTTAGTACTTTTTCTGTTGAAATAAAATGGAATGTAAATTTTAAATGAGCAGTTCGTAAAATTTATTTTTCTAAATTATAGGGTGATGGTAGATAATACTATGGTGCTATAGTGACGGGCTCATTGTTACATTAGAAAAACAATTAAAGTAGTGCTCAAAAGTTTTTTATTTTTTATCGCTAAAAGTATATATAAAGTTTAGAACTCTTTTTTCCAGTAAGTTGACATCTATGTCAACTTACTGGAAAAAAGGTTTAAAAATAATTGTACTATAATAACACTTTATAGTTATAAACTTTTAATTTTTTTTATTTTATTATTCGATAAAATTTGCATAATTTAAATTATTATTATTTATTATTCGAAAAAATTTGCATAAATTAAATTAGTCAAAGAAATTCTTACTGGTTTAACAAGTGGAAGTATTTTTTGCCAAGTTTACTGTACCACAACAATGTTGTGTGTTCAACTACATTTGATGCTTCCCAGTTGATTTTAATTACTTTATTTTTATGTTCATTGGTGTGTGTAAATATTTTCTTTCTTGTTTAATTTTGCAACCTTCATCACATATGCAATCTAACTGATAAACTCATAACTATTTAAATTGAGTTTGGATTTTTTCACTGCAAAGCATATTAAGTAAAGAATTACCAAAGAGGGAGACGGTTTTTATACCCACTTTACGAAACTCTCTTTCGGTATCCACCGTAAGAAACTAACATTTATAGATTTGTTGATTACAGTTTGTAATTTTGGCTATACTGAAAAATGTTTGTATGAGTATTCAACACATTAAAAAAGAATTTAATTTAATTTTGGAAATTCTGTTTTGAACATGATAATATATGTAAAGTATTAACGGACATATTTTAGTAACTTTCTTCTTTTAATTTTTTTTTTACCATATTCTTTATATTGTAGCAGGAGTTAGGGTACTTTGATTCCCAGGGCACATAGAGTAGTTGTAAAACAAAAACTGCGCACAATACGCATCAATAAGCTACAA